TGGTCGAAAAGTTAAAAATGTATGCAAACCCGTGAAAAGCAAATTTTAAAAACATAATTAAAGAATTTAATACCCCATAGTTTTCACACCTGATTTAGCTTTACATCGTGGTTAAAAGTCCTGTTATTAAACAGAGTAAAAATACATTATAATATTGCTTTCAGCAGATTTAGTAAGTGAACAGCATACAATAAACTAGGTGCCCATTTGAAATACCGATAATATTAACATTGTTCAGAAAACGCTTCTCTCTCGTCTAACTTTTAACATGTATGTAAACTTAAGGTTTGGTTTAATATTTTAATTTGTGCTGAGCAAATAATAATTTGCATTTATAATTTATATAAAGTTCTGGAGTACTTCTAGGTAAAAAGAGAACAGACTCTGCAAATATCATTACTGAAGATGTGATTTACTTTTCTAACCAGTGGATATGATTGAGAAATACTTCATGAGAATTGTTTAAATAAGATCAGAAATTAAACTGTATAGATTTTACATATCAGAAATTATGTATACTGTTAAGAAAATGTGGCATAATGATGAAGCCCACAAGAGTTCTTATGAATGTCAAAACAAGATATATGCCACAGTCAACACTAAGCCTTTACCGAAAAAAAAACAAAACTTACCACCTTTCTAAAGCCCATAAACTAAATAACTTGAGAGAAAAAAAACTTATTTTGCAACTATTTCCGTTTGATTTTCTTGAAAATAGGGTCATCAGTAAATGTAAAATTAGACTTTGACAGTTCTAGTGAAAAACAAAATAGTTAAATTTCTAAGCTATTCAAAATGTTTATTTGTGACTCTGTAGATAATAAATACGACTCAATATCTCTGCAATCGGTAAAGGAAAGAAATAAGTTTAACTTAATGCAGTAAACACTTGCATTCCATATCTCTGCAATCGGTAAAGGAAAGAAATAAGTTTAACTTAATGCAATAAACACTTGCATTCAATATCTCTGCAATCGGTAAAGGAAAGAAATAAGTTTAACTTAATGCAGTAAACACTTGCATTCAATATCTCTGCAATTGGTAAAGGAAAGAAATAAGTTTAACTTAATGCAGTAAACACTTGCATTCAATATCTCTGCAATCGGTAAAGGAAAGAAATAAGTTTAACTTAATGCAGTAAACACTTGCATTCAATATCTCTGCAATCGGTAAAGGAAAGAAATAAGTTTAACTTAATACAATAAACACTTGCATTCATGTTTTTTTTATGCCATTCAAGATTTCGTATTAGTTGTGGTTGTATAACCAAGTTCATAAAATAACATTTCATTTTTCTCCATTCTTAATCCGGAAAGGCATACTTGAAATTAATGTGCAGTAGCAGCTTTGAATATATATTACGTACCTTAAGCGTGATCTATATTTGTATTACATATAGTAGTTGTGCATGATTAATTATCTTAAAGTACTACATTTTCCTATATTACTGATTTCTCTCGCTATATATGTGTGTGTGTGTTCGAAACACCTGCTATATGAAAAGTATGAAACAGATTCATCACGAGTACGTCATTTGCAAATATAGGTTTATATAGATAGAAAATTATGAAGTTTCCGGTATGGAACGTTCTTTAACGGAAGTCTTCCTCTGTGCTTACAAATTTTCTCGTCAACTAGGTGCACGAACGACGACAGGAGGATCTTCCCCTGGAACCTTTACACTGTTATTACAACGAAGTGAAGTTGAATCAGCTCTTAAATTAGTAATCGTTTACTAGTTGTAAACCATAATTACCAGGCTTTAAGCCTGAAAAGGGTTGGAACACGGGCCACTACTGTACAATAGGGTCTCTACAAGTCAACCGCCCTTCCCCTTACTTGTATTCGTAAACGTAGTAAAATATGGTAAAATTAACACCCTCCCATCGATGTTACCATGACTACATAGTCTTAGGTTTTTAGAGAACCAATAAACGTTAGAAGTATACAAAAAACAAATGTGCATAAATGGCGAGATCCATTTCCTGCTTATAACCCAATACTGCATTTTTCTTGTTTCTATATCTTATTGAAAATATAGATGTTGCAACTGAATTGTTTTTACTAACAATTTGGAATAGATGTGCTACAATTTCTGGGAAAGAATGTTTCCCGTGATAAGGCTCATCCACTCTCTTGCTAGTTTCACATTGAATAAAGTTTTGATTTTCCTGTGTCCGTCCACAGACACACACACACAGAGATACAACACAAACACATACACATATAGAAATGCATGTTCTTTATTTTACCATTGATGTTATGCTAACGCTAAAATAAACATACACAGAGATATACATACAACAAAAACACATGAACGTATATAAATGCATGTTCTTTATTTTATTTACCAATGCTGTTATGCTAACGCTAAAATAAACACACACACACACATACATATATAATATCTAGAATTGTACCTGTATATCTTTGTTTATTAGATTTTTTATCTTCGCCTACAAATTATTGCCAAAACTTGTTAAATTTTATGTATAGGCTCTTGCCCTCACAAAAAATGAATAAAGAAAAAACTGTTGAAAGAATCGTGAGGGACTTCCAAAAAATTGGGGGGGGGGGTCAAGAGAGTTTTAGGGACTATCCGATTTAACTAAACCCATTTATTTAAATATTGGTATTAGTATCTAAAGAACTGTTCGTATTAATGGCCTCGAATCAGATGATTTTTGAAATTTTCAAATTGAAGCTCCCTGGAAGGTCAAAGTGTTTTTTTTTTAACTTTCAAGACTGGACCCCTGCGATTTACATAAAAACTCGTATACACATGTTCAAAATAAGTATCCAAGTTTAGATTTTACAAAATTTTTTATATTGAAGCTCCCAAATGGAAAATTAAAGGAGTTTGAGAGGGCCTCAGGGTTGATTGCCTGAATTTACATGAAAATTGATAACAACAAATAACTCGTCAGTCAAATAAGAATTTAAGTTTTGATTTTGGAAATTTCGTTCCTCATATGGAAATAAAAAGGTTTTGGAAGCTCTCAGAACTTGCTGCATGGATTTACTTGAAAACTAACAAGAACATGTATATTGTCGCTGCGAAAGAAGACATGTAAAATGTTTTGAGTAACTGCTGTTTCTTGTAAATTTTCATAGGTAATTTACTGTTAACGTTTTATTTCATGTAAAATACATGTAACATGCATTATTGTTTCTAATTCCCAAAGAAGCATGATGGTAATTAAAATACAAGACTAACATAACATAAAACATACATTTCGTAAACAGTAAAATACTATATATTTATATATTTCTCTTTTTGTCTTTTGTTTTTACCCTGCGTACCAAGTGTTGACGTTTGTATAATGCAAAATGAATTACTAAAAATACTGTCATTTATATACATGCATGTGTTTGTTTCTTCTGCATAAGAACTGTCGAACGTTTGTTTATTCTGATCTTAACCTATGAATTCAACAATATCGAAGAACTTCAACGGCTAAACTCTTTCATTGAAATTTGGATGTTTTAAGAGCAACTCTGATGTTAGCCGAAGTTTAAGACTTCAAAGTTTTCCATTGCTAAATGTGACGTTTTGTATTGACCCGAGCGGTAAATGCTCACACGACAGTCTAGCTTGCTCATTATCTGTGGAGTAATGGTATCTTTGCACGAAACGGCATAACGCATTTACCTTCTTGAAATACAAACAGTTCAGCGTTTTTTATGGTTCAAGCAGGGGGGTACTATTGCCTATAAATCTTGAAGGTATATATATATATATATATATATATATATATAATAAAAGGCAGTTTTGAAAGGTTAAGAAACCCCGGTACTCTTTTAATCATGCCTGTTCCGATAAATCTATTTGGTTTATTTTAGAATTCTAACATCCTTAATCAGATGCCTTTATTCGAAGGATACATTTGTGTGCTCGTTATTCCAAATTAGCCATCTTTATTATTCTATCTTACTCATTTTAAGGTAATTTCTGTTTACTTCCTTAATTATTCAGTTATTGTATTTAAACATTCAAATTTGTCATTCTCTTGTAAACTTATTTTACACATTTAAACAATCCGTTCAATTTTTTATAGTGCTATCTTCTGCGTTAAACCTCCAAGTTTGGGATGTTCATTCTCCAGTGAATCTCATATGATGAATATATCTGGACACACGTATGCATAATTTAGATATTTTGCTTGATTGAAATAGTTTATGGAACATAAAATGTAATAAGAAGATGGCTAGAAAAGTGATTGTTTGGATGTGAAACACAATAACAAGAAAAAGTGAATGCGGTTGAAAAACTGTAAGAATGACAAGAGGTGGTAAAAGATGGTCGATTCAACGTAAGGAACCTGTAAGTGTGAAATAAATCGTTATATTTGGAATAGGAATAGTAAGAGTGTGATGAAAAATGAGACAGTTGACTATAAAGAGAAGGGAGAAGTAAGAGAAGAAATGAGATACGACGAATAGATATAACAAAAGCTCGAAGGATGAAAGAGAAAATGAAGAAGGACAGCGAGAAGGTGAAAAAGAAACAAAAACTGCTGGATATACAAGAAAGTGAAACAGGAGAGTATGTAGATGGATTCTATGTAAAGAGACAGCAAGAACCTGAAGGGAAGGAGGGTTGGATGAGAAAGAAAGTGAGCGAGGAAAGAAAACAGTTAGATAAGAGAGGGGAAATAACGAGAGGGTGAGAGAGGAAAAAAACAAGGACTGTTGGATTTTTTAAGAAATGAGAGGGTTGAATGCAGTGTATAATCAGCGAAGAAGTGGGAAGAAAATATACTGCGTCGTGTGAAAACATTCCCAATCAAGATTAAGATGGAGAAAATATTTATACCTTACAAATAGAAAAAAGTGTATAGTGTACAAATAGGGCGAATAGTGAGAGAGGAAAAATGGGAACCAAAGGACACGCAGATAATACTTGTAAAACGTGTCAAAGCTTTTGAATAAAATATATTATTTATTTTAAAGCTAAAAAGCACGAAACATATCTTAAAATGTTCGATGAAATTAATTACCTTGATTATGCCTACTGTTGAGATAGTCCTCCTTACAAATGAAGCATTTCTCATCAAGAACATACAGCTCTTCTCCTGTTGACAGCTGTTTTCTACAAACCATACAGGTGAAACACTTTAGGTGAAATACCTTGCTACGAGCTCTTCGAACTAGATCAGTGGGAGAAATTCCCTGGCCACAGCCAGCACACTTGGTTCCGAACCGTCTGAAAGTAGAAAGTATCGAACATCATAAATCCTAACTCCACTTGTTATGAATGCTCATACCTCAATACTTAATTAACATTGATGAAATATGAATGAGATACTGCTACACGTTTTAATGAAATCTCGGTTAAAGAAACATGAGCAATGTACGTGCCCTATACACATCTATGAAAAATTAAAGTTTCTATATTATTTGTAAGTTTTTCGATTCCTAGATAATATAAGTGGTTATTGATTCTGATACACAATAAATCAATATTTCCTATCTTATGTTTACAAGCAGCGTTACCGATGCCAACAATTAGCCCATCAGAAAAATGTTAAGAAATTAGACTTACAGGATAAAGTATTAACTGTTGAAACACGAACCAGTCCTGTTCATCTTTATGTTTGTGTGTTTTGAGGTTTAAATTCTAATATACGTAAATTCTCCTAGAGTTCGTTAAATGTTTCAAGGATTCGATGAAATTAGACAAAATGGCTGAATGGTAAAGAAAGTTTGTTAGTTAAATATACAAAAATATTCATTTATCGCAAGTCAAGACAGAGATAGGAAAAGACGTTGAATTATCTTGTTTATTTTCAGGCAGACCTGGGTCAGGTCACCAAAAAAATTTCTATCTTCACTTTTGAAATTCTGGTATGTCAGTGTTATAAAATTGTCCTCTTTTAGTGTTATGTTTTTTTTAAATTTCGGTACGATAAAAACTTGTTAGTATAATTCCCAAGAATATTATCATATAAAAATAATAACCAACGAAGAACTAAAAACCAGAAATTTAAATTTACAGGTCAATTTGAAGGTGAATAAATTTTTATGTTATTAATGACTAACGTTGGAGCTATCTAGTTATCACAGAAACTAAAGAGAACATCAGACCTATTGGAACTCATTATGATGCATTGTTGGGTTTGTGGTTCATGCATTTATAAGGAAGCTTGTAGCAAAAAAAACAAATATAAGAAATTTCAGATATGAATCTCAAGAGAGTATCCAAGTTGAAATAAAACATAGACAGTCTAAACATTCCAATCCCAAGTAACGAGTGACTGATTCATATGATTAAGATACGAAGTTCATATATGTATAACTTTATACAGTTTCCTATCTAGTTGCACCCAGATTATAAGTCGTTTCAAAACGAGCTACAGCAGGTACTATTGAAATGTAAAATTAAATATATCGAAAAAGAATTCTATGAATAAGTAAAAATCTTGAGTAAATATTTTGCATCAAACACTAATAGCGACGTGTAGGCTGAGATTTCATCTATTTAACAAGCAATTAAAACAAAGTCAACGAGACGTCTTTCAAGGTTCAAGAAGCGTAAATGTGAAATTTTTAGAAAGTGTTTGCTTGTTTTTTAATTATGCACAAAGCTACACAAGGGTTATCTGTGCTCTGCCCACCACAGGTATCGAAACCCGGTTTCTTGTGTTGTAAGTCCGCTGTGCCACTGGGAGGCTTTTAGAAAGTGGATATCTTTAGAGTCATTAGCAGTATGACAAACGTTAGACAAACAATCATTAGACAAACGTGAAGAAAAAGCATGACTTAAGATTAGAATACAATTTGTCGACTAGACATTTAAAATATGAGACAAGATATGCTTGTTTAACAGCAGTTAGCTCAAAGCTAACTTTGTAATTTAAACCAATTGTGGCACCTGGTGGTTAACGTGCTCCCATGGTCCCCATCCCGTTGCCGCAACAACACGAACCTCTTACTTTGAGGCTGTTGGTACGCTATAAGAATGGTAGTGAAATCCCAGTATTCAAGCAGAGAAAAGTAGTGCAGGAGTTGGCGGTGGACACTGTTGAATAGCCGCCTTCCTTCTAGCCTGTCAATTCAAAATTAGGAATAGCTATGCGCAAATACCTTTTTTGGTGGATTTGCGTGAAATTGTGAAACAAACTTTGTATTTCTATTTCTCAAAAAAAAAATAAAGATTTTGACAGAAGGTTTTAGTAATAAATCATAAAACGAAATGAGAACCAGATGAAAATTAATAGCTAAATAATCTGTAATAATGTAAACAAAACAACTATTAACTGACATTATTTTATAAGTATGTTACATTTGACCATACCATAAACACTAACTAAGATTGTTAAAAAATACGCCTCCCTTACATTTATAAGATCCTAGAATTTTGATGGATTACTCAGCGTTAAATTTATATTTTTATATTTTCATTACAGGTAGGCGTTCAGAATGTAAGGCAAAGTTCGTAAATATATATATGTATGTGTGTGTGTGTGTGTTACACAACTCTTCCGACTTAAAGGACACCAAGAAACGTTTTTTAAAACAACGTCACTAATGCCAGATGCAAATCTGGAAGGAAACTACTTTATCTACTTTATTTTATTTGAAAACTTGCTTTGTTATCTGATTTTCGGGGTTGACACTGATCTTCCTATACGTAATTGTAGGAGGAATGTTGTAATGAATCTAGTGTAATTCATGTTACAAATCTATGCTATAGTATAACTTTTAGATTCAGCTACAAAATGTTTTTTTTTCTGCTTTAAACTGATATAACAGTGTTGTTTTGTGGCGGGTATAAACTAACTTATCATAAAAATGGAGTTAATTGTTTCTCGAATTAGCTGTGACTGAATAATTAGCAGACAAGGTCACTTCTGTATTTAGTCTTCACATTTTCTTCAACATTTCAGGAAGTTAAAACACACTCAAATGATTTAAAGTAATTACTTGAGAAAAGTAGGTACTAGAAAACTCAGACACAATCTATATGATGCAAAGTTTCACATTTCTATTTTCGAGATATTTAAAATAGTGAGACATTACGCAGAAATTACCAGCTTATAGTAAACCGTTCACGTTTAGCTTCAAATCGGTTTAACAGATTCTTTCCGTTTCCGCTTGCGTTCTATTCAGCAGCGCGTGGAAAGCCTCTCTATACATTATCCTCTTCGCACCTTCGTAAGAACGTCTTTATCGTAGAACAAGTTAGTAAAAATCCGGATAAGGACAGACTGACGCTGGACGTGAGGCGACAAAGGGATGTAATCTTCCAGGGCTGTCAATCCAATCCGCTTAAAGGAAACACGGACACTGAAGACTATTAGTACAGTGGTCAATAGAATCATGATTTTAAGCATGTTTTTGTCTTAAGCTACTCTTCCCAACATAGGACTTACTTAGATGCGATGTTAACTGTATGACCAAAACACAGATCTTCCCTTAAGTATTTGTTGGTTAAGATATTTAACCAACTAGAGTAGTTGTGTTTAAGTTTTATAATGAACTTAAAGTAACTTAGTTCCACTAAGTATAACAACTGTTAAAATTCTTTGTAAAGCAAAAACATATCATTTTCATTGAAACTAAGAAATTAAGAATTAATCATAGAAACTTTAAATTACAACAAAATTTTACACGAAAGCAAACTGTATTGCTATCATATACACGGAGCTTAAAGATGCTCGATGAAGGTTTGTACGAAATGCTTCCTAGTTAAGAAGCCATGTGTGTCCTAAAAACTAGCGTATCGGGCTGCAGATCGAGGAGGCGCACGTTCAGCTGTAGACCCGTTATAAAATTGACAGCCAATCTCATTATTCTATTCAAAAAGACAAACAAAGCTCCAGTGGAGGCGACTGATGCCGACTGCATTTCCTCTAGTCAGTACTTCAAACATTAGGGATTGAAATTATACCTGAACCCTAGGAGCTTCCGATCTGGCAGTTTAGCCCACGTACACACAAAGTGCCGTTCAAAGAAAATTCCAGCTATCACTGAAGACCGTTTCTCAATATACTGCACTTGCAGATGTAAACCAGGTAGCGAGCAGGACAAAAATGAATAAGTCTTTTACCCAATACTACAAACTAAATAATTAATGTTCCTAAACATAAAAACAAATAACAAGAAGATATATCTTAATTCGAATATAAACAAACAAACACTTCTATAAGTTCCTGAATGAACAGTTCTAAGTAAAACTTGGTATAAAAATAAGAGTGTTATTACATAACTAGAGCTAGGACCTTCCTTTTCAGATCTTACTTTCATTATATATAAAAAAAGATGGAATAAATTATCTACTTCGCATACATCCGTTTATGTTAAGTTTCTTAATTCGCAGCTTCCACTCACAGTGTCGTTTG